GACTTATTTCTAATTTTATCTGACTTATTTAATTTAATTTTTATTGTTTTTATCGTCCTGCAGGCTCTGAGGGAAAATTAATTTGAAGCTGAGTATTTTTTTTTTATAAAAATCGTTAGATTACTCTAAAGCAAAATGAGGGAAATTCTGTGTCAGTCACAGACAATCTGTTCAGGTGAGCAGCTGTCAGTCAGCACCTGTCAACCTCCAGACGCACGAAGGAGCATGTCTGAACCAATCACTTTTGTTGGCATTGATCAGCTGACTGATTTAAATACATCTTAACATTCATGAGGTACTTTACATTGACTGTTTATGGTTGAATGTGGGCGTGTAGAGGGTAGAACCTGAGGAGGGAACTCGTGCGCAAACTCTGACGTGTGGCTGTGATTTATAAAGGAAAGATGCAGAAACGTGCGTACGCACGGTTTTATAAATCTGAATTTTTTTTTGGCGTACGCCATTTCCGCCTTTTGGCCGTACGTTCACTTATAGTATGGTTTCCACGCAATCYTTTATAAATGAGACCCCTGCTCCTTTGAAGTGAGCCTGACTGCCAGCTTTTGCGAGGTAGTCAGCTCTCTGGTTACCATAAATGCCAGTATGTCCTGGTACCCATTTAACAGTAACACTGTTATCTCTCCCCAGTTGCTTGACTGCTTCAGCACACTCCCAAGCCAGTAATGATGTAAAGTGTGGCCCTCTGAGAGCTCTAATAGCAGCTTGGCTATCTGTTAGGATGAATATTTCCTTCTGTGTACACGTCTTTGAGAGATGCCACACACTGGTGGATTGCATATATCTCAGCTTGAGATACAGTTGCAAAACCACCTTGTGGGTATTTATGCTGTCTCTATGGTTGTGTAAAATCAGCCCCCCTGCACCTACTGACCCCTTCAGAAGGGATCCATCTGTAAAACAGTAGAAATGATTGGGAGACATGTCCGTCGTATAGAGGTTAATCCAGACAGACCTGTCTTCTATCTCTGTCTTAAAACTTGGCTCAAAATTGTATTTTTTGGCCATTCTGTCTCCAGATCCTGCAGTTACTGGAACAGTCCCAGATTCTAGTGTGCTGTGTGTCAGATAGGTTTTTCCACCTACCAGACTGGTGTAGTCTTACTGCACTGGATGCGGCCTCCCCTAAGATATGTAAACCTAGTGGAGCCAGGTCCAGTAGGACTTCCATGGCTGTTGTGGGTGTTGTTCTGATGGAACCTGTGATGCTCATGCAGGCCATTCATTGCACATGGGTGAGCATCACTCTTGCCACCCCAACTTGGACTGGAACCCACCACACTAAAGCAGCATAGCATAGCGTGGGGCAGACTATGGCCATGTAGATCCATCTGAAAACCTTTGCGGTAGCAGCCCAACGACTACTTGCAATTCTAAAGCACGGGTGTAGGCACATTGCTGCCTTCTTACATTTTTCATTTACATGTCTTTTCCAGTGAAGCTTCCTGTCTAGACAGACACCTAAGAATTTAACTGACTCTGACGGGAAGAGTTCTACACCCTCCAACTCTGGAGGTGAGTACCCCTTCCTTGACTTCTACTGGATGCCTAAAAAGCATCTGACAGGTATCTTATAACAACAATACAAATTGTTTTCCATTATGGAAAGAATTGGATTTCGTGAACTATTTCAAACTGAATAGTTTTGTTTTACTGTTCTGGCAAACAGTGTTTTTTATGGCTCCGTCCACTTAGGGTTGGAGGTAGACTGTTCTCTGTGTGTTAGTGCGGTGTCCATCTGTCACAGGTGGTTTTGTGTACTTGATATCTCCTGAATGAAATTATATATGCATTGTAACTCCGTTAGGGTAGTACTCAGTCTGATTAGATTTGGGCATCAAAGGGTCAAAGGTCAAGGTCATTTATGATGATTGGTAATACAAAACTGCCATTTTCTTCAAATTCCTTGACAGAACAAATAAAAGACCTGGTTAAATGATTTGGTAAATATCAAAGAGGAAGTCATGTTTAAACATTGCTGATGTAGTTACATATGAATATTTAAGTCCAAAAATGGAAGTAAAAATTTAACTTTATACTCTCTTACAAAAGTTGATTTCTTTTCAACTTTCATCATCTGCAATACAAATGTTTTCCTCTTATTTGACTGATAGGTGTCAGTTTGTGAAACATGGAAGCTCTGTGTCCGGGTCTCTGCCCTGTTCCGTGGGAGTTCCGCAGGGTAGCATACTGGGCCCACTGCTTTTCGTATTATACATAAATGACCTTCCAAAAATATTGAAGTATTCGAATATTTTTATGTATGCTGATGATACTGTTCTTTTTTTGTCTGATTTCAATATTGAATCTATTAATAGTCAGTTACAAGCAGATCTTCAGACATTTCATGGTTGGCTTCAAGATAATCTTTTGTCAATTAATGTTAAAAAAAACTGTGTGCATGTATTTTTCCTCACCCAGGAGACATTTCAATATAACAAATCAACTCACTTGTAGGTAGTGACAAACCCCTTGATACTGTCACTACCTATAAATATCTTGGAATTACTTTGGATTCTCATTTGACTTATCG